CCAACAAACACAATAGTTCACCCTCGCCTCCGAGCACGGCGAGACCAACACAACGCGTACACAAGGTACATCCGCGTTCCAGGGCGGTTCTCACCGCCCCCAGCCACCGATTAGCTAAAAACACAGTCCACGACCATATTTGATAAAAATCACACTCTAAATAAATGGTATTGTTGTAAAACAACATTTGTTTGAAATATTTCTGAAACAAATAATCTATTCTTTGTTATAGGAATATTCCTATCGGAAACCAAATGAGTCATATCAACACAGTTATGTACACACATTTTATAAAGTTAAAACACACACGTTTAAATGGTCCGCAATAAAAACTGAAGTAATTGCATCCATTGTAGGGCAGTTTACATGTCTTTTATTATGTTTGCTTTCAGTCGATTTCACCTTTAGTGTCATAGACTAACAGTTTCGCGGAAATGCAGGTCACTAGGAATAAAGTTAATTTTTAATTAATAAAATCACTATAATTAATTATTATAAAGTCCGTTGTGCGATAATTGACACCACAATCACTCTTAGATTTTTATTACAATTTTAATAGAGCACTTCTCAGTTTTTGATGTTAAGCATTATTCTACGATATTTTATATATTGATTTCCAATAATTCATTTTAGATTATTTTACTGTGGTAGGGCCACGCAGCAGCCTCGGCTGTTGACCGAATAGGCTGGCTCGTCCGGCTAAGTACCACGACCTCACAGAAGACCGGCGTAAAGTGGAAGTATAATACTTTCGCGTTTCGTCTGGTGAATGAGGTAGCCGGAGCCCAATTTTCAAAAGGTTCTCAACGCATCTGGAACCTTCGGGTGTAGCAGATGCCTAAGGGCGGCGGTATTCACTTAACATCAGGTGAACCGTCTGCTCGCTTGGCAACTTTTCACATAAAAAAAAGATGTATTTTAACTATTTCTATTTACTCCGATTAGTACCAACAGTCGAGTAAGATTGCGTGTATTCGTAAAATACTTAAATAAAAAAATATTAATATCGTTGAGATTTCTTTGGAAAGAAAGACATAAGATATCGCGTGTCATGTACAGTATGAGATAGCGTTTCTTTCAACATTGTTGAATTGCACAAGTTTCAGGAGAAACTTTACAGAAGCTGTTGTTAAGTTCAACATGGCGTACAATATAGTAACACTAACGTTGCAAACATCCAATGACACAGTTATTTTCTACAGCGACGGTATTCACGATGCGATAGGAGCAAACGTCTCAAAGAAATGTACGAAAGTTTTTAAAGTCCGCCTGATCAATGAGGGTAACGAACTACCACAGGAGTGTTACGTCTACAAACTTATTGACCACCCTTATTCATTCTAATGCGGACATAAATTGGCGACCACTACGTAGTTTTATTGAACTTCCACTAGTAGTGCATTTTATTATTAAAAAGTAAACTTCTTCGACGGGCGTCAGGGGTGGCGATAGATATCCACTTTTTATGTTTGTTTGTGTTATTTATGGTTGAACGTTAATTATTTTTTGCTAAATCATATATTTAGAGAGAGTGAGAAAGAGTATCTGCTTATCGGACTCTTTATTTCGAATATATCCTCTTATGAAATATATTCCACCAAAAAAACTAATAGATTGTGAATAAGATATTATGAGTTAGAAATAAAGGAGAATTACAGAAGGCCATCTAATATATAAAATCCTGGTGTCACGGTGTTTGTAATTGAACTCCTACGAAATAGCTCGACCGATTTTCGTGAAATTTTATGTGCATGTCGGCCAGGGTGGAGAATCATAATGAAAAATAGACGTTGTCCGTCTATTTTTCATCGCCCTACATGTTCAGGGTGGTCCACCCCAAACATTTCTACAATTTTCTACCCTACAAATTATTAATATAGCAAAACAACGTTTACCGGGTCAGCTAGTTTGTACTATATAAATCATTATACGGTACCAAATATATTAATTGACACCCTAGAGGATGTAGATTGTACAATCCGCAAGACGATAGAAAATGTAGCCTACACATTATGAACTGCCTTACAATTGACAGAATACTAGTATTGTATGCTTTCACTATGTTGGATAAAATTTCTTATAAATTCGAGATAGCATGAACTATTACAAACAAATAAATAAATATGCCAATGAAATTTGAATGCATGTTTTACTGTTTTCTAAAATACTCCAAAGAGACCAGTCATAAGGGGCTCCATGGGATGATTCAAAGGGCCCGTGGTAAGTTAAAATGAATTTGGCGGTTCGAAAAACTACCCTTACTTCTCACCGTCCACGTAGTAGATTACGAGTTATAAACGCTGTTTAAAACAAAATAAACCTAGGGTTTATCGCGAGTATTGTTAGTAAATATACCAAGGTAGGTAAATTTAAAACGTATATGTGTATATATAAATTGATTATGACAAAGTATTTTAACATTCTAAAAAATATAAATTTGTTCTGTTGGCGTAAATGATTTCGTTACGATAATAGCTCTACGACTGAAATAAGCTTAGTTATGACAGATATATATCGTTTATAGCGCAATATATTCCTTCACAATCGCTGATTACTTTGTTAGGTGTTATTCTACAATAAGTATCAATGTGTTATACATATTTAATATATGTTGTTCTTAGTTATTACGGTATTTTACATGTTACTAATAGGACAGCTGTCTCTTTGTTTAATCTTAATTCACGATTTATCCTACATTGTTATTTAGCATTTGAAGCAATGCTTGGCGAATCTATTGTTATATCCTTTCCAGCATACAATGCGTCGCTGTGGCTATCAGCCGTTTAGCTCAGTGGCTAGAGCGTCAGGCCGCGAATGCCGAAGACGTGGGTTCGATTCCCACTGCGGCGACAATCTTTTCGTACTTTTTCTACATGTTTTAATGTTCAATCTTAGGTGCAGAGATTAGCACTATAAAAAACTTTAATATTCACGATTTATCCGTTAAAATTATGTCTGATTAATTCAGAGTTTGATTCAGAGGCTGTTTTTCCGATATAGAACATTATATAGTTAAAAAATATGCAGTTGATTACAGTTTTATTAGTTAAACTCCTGTTAGCTTTAATTAAAATAAAGTGATATTTTTACATTTATCTAACAATGTTTACCTAACGCCGCTCGTAAGTTATACCGAGTAGTTGTAATTGTAATGTTACACATACACTTTGAAACAATTAATTTATCCCGGTAAATTTAAATCGCTATTTGTGATCATTCAGTTATTGGCTGTATTTGTTGCTTTGAATGTAATAAGCTACACTTCGCTTAGAATGTTAAAGTTAAATTGAGCCCAAGAATCTCTAACAAGCGATAAAAGCCAAAGCCAATCAATGGCACCGACAGCTATACGCGGAATGCCTGATTGGCACTGAAATGTAGGAAACTTGTGCATTATAACACATTTTCTTTTAATGTTAGAATTTGGGCATAAAAGTGATTAAAGTGATATGTGTATATAGGGAATAATGTGTTTTTACTTGATTACAATAATTTCTTTCGAACCAATTGTACTGCGTATCTTTTTTGGAATTCGAACTAATAGGTTTACAAAATAAATACGGCGGTAATAAGCATAAATTCCTAAGCTAAATTTGTAAAGTCGCTTGTAGATATAAAAATTTACCAGATGGAATCTATTTAAGGTAGGCGACCATTTCATTGTATCAACCCTACGGTCTAACAGTTCGGCTACCGTTCAACCCATCAGGGCTCGTCAAATATTAAAACGAGATCTGAATTGAATTTCAAATTCCTCTACAAACACAATCATTATAATAATGTATTCCAATCAAATAACATTATGAAGTATCGTCATATTAACATAAGCTGATCTCAGCTAGTACTGATTCATTCACTTTCGATGTTAATCTATTTGGAAATTAAGATGGAATATATCGTCATGAATAATGCATACACTCATTCAATTCCCCGCTTATATTATTATATCAGTTTCATTTGCCAAATGCATTAGTCTTTTGTACATTTGCAAATAGTTTCTTTGTCTTCAAAGACATTATTGAGTAAGTTAAGGTAATTATATATATAATGTTAAATATTTATTTTTTAATATTGCTTTAATAATCGTGCCTTCTAAAGCCACACATCAATAAAACATAAATAAAATCGAAATAATTTTAATAAATAAACGCAAAACATCTTAACCAGCTAATGTATGTTATTATATCTCAGTACACAAAATATTTATAGTTTTCCAATAAGATTGTTGATTATTTTTCTTTCATTTTTCCATCTTTTAAGATTTGTTTATGAAGAGGATACCCAAAGAATAAAGAGATTATTAGAGTTGGCACCGCACCAAAATGGGTAGTAACCCCGAATTCTATTGGCAAGAAAAAATGCTAGCGCTATCTGGTTTTATTTAGGACATCCATTCATGATGCTGACATAGTGTGGCGCAAACTTCAGTTATTGCCAGTTCGAGAGTGGATTCCAATAAATTTGCAAATTCAAAATGGGAATTAAAACTGAAATGAAGTCTTAATACTTACTGTCCTTATCGAAATTTCGGCTCAAGCGAATAAAACCGTTTTAACAATTCTATAACTACTAAACTTTTCTACTGCTTATACCAATCGCAAGTGAGGTAAATTTTTTATGTTCCTCTTTCCCTTTACTTCCGTTGAAAGAATACGATCATTTCAAAACATAAAAGTTAACGACGCTCTTCATGGCAAAAAATGACATCCATTACACATTTCCGGCCGCCGTTTGTTTGTTTGTTCAGGAAAAGACCCCGCTGGCAAACGTTGTAATTACGCGGCTTCTAGCGGTGTTCTATTCAGAGTTTTAGAAGTAAATCAACAGGCGATTTCGGCGCGCATGCGTCCGTCCCGCCGCCGCGTTTTTTTCTAACACCACAAAGTTTTCAGTCACCGCGCTCCGACTGAGTGGAGTGGTTCATTGCAGTTGCCCTACGAATAGTTTCTCTCGTAGCCCCGGCGTAGATCGCAACACGCTAAGTTGATATGTAGTTCGCGATGGATTACTCAACGTGTATCGTGCTTCTAGTACTGTGCTCAAGTTCGTATAATTTGTGCCGTTGTTTTCCTATTTCTTTCCGTAATAAGTTTAGTTATTTTAGTTGCGTGTTAAAACTTTTAGCGTCCGCGTGCGCCTACATAATTTTCCTGTCAACCTTCGTTTCGAATTTTCCTTTCTTTCTTTTAAACAGTGATTTTCTTTTCATGGTTACAACAATGTTCGAATCTATGAATATATAATTGAACTAACATATTTAAGTTAGAGCGATAAGTTGATACTTAATTTGACTGTTCAATCCTAAAATAGTGATAGATATTCACGTTTTTTTTAACTTAACTTATTTAGTAATAGAAACAATTTGATAATAATCAATATAAAATAACTTTTTCGATTTTAAGAAATTTCACAAAACCCTGTTTTACCTTAATCAAAAACATCACAACTCTTTCATATCTTGTTGGTCTTGGATTTGTGTAAATTTTTGCATTTATAATTCGACTTGGTATTAATTGAAAATTTTCAAATTTAGAAAAGTCAGTTTAAAACAACGCGAGAACACGACTGTATCTGCTATGATCTGTTGATCTTGTCGAAAATATGTTCGATAACCTACATACTGCAGGAAATAACAACTATTCCGTAGATACCTATGGTTCAATTTACGTAAAAGCGTCCAGTTGTCTAGGTGGTGGTTACATGCGACAGTACTCTAGTTATAACGGCGATGCATTATTCATATACCATTTGTTGTTACCAGAACTATGTTCTTGGTAAACCTTCTATTATCACTACGCCTGTTCCTTGCATATATTTTTTTTATATTACGTTAAACGATTAATTCAAGCTAAAATTGTTTTGTTGCACCACCGAAGTGTTTTAAAGATTTCGTTTCATACTTTTATTGAAAACCTATATATAAGCATAACTTAACGGTTAACTTCTAGGAAACATCTAGAACTCAACTCTAAAATAACGTCCTTTGAACTACTGTAAAGCTTAAAAAATGTTAAACAACTATGAAGAAATCCATTGCGGAGCATGTTTCATCGTCAAAGAAAGCCTGTTTTGATTATGATATCTGATACCAAACTAATAAAATAATTTCCATATCTCTTGCACAAAGGGGCATTTAGAATTTTGATCAAAGGAAATTTTCAGATTCGATATCGCAAAACACCCAGGCCGGAGATCCAAACAAAGGCACATAGCGAAGCATTGAACCATGCGGTCCTTTAAAATAGCTTAAGTGTGTACGCAATGCAAGATTTTTGTGAGCTTTTGCAGTGTTTTGTATTAAAACGTCGGTACAGATTTAAATAATTATAAAAGAAATAACTTGTAAAGAATAATTTAAATCATATACTAACAAACATTTATCTTTATATTATATCAACGAATGATGATAGAAAACAGTGAATCAAAATTTAATCAATTGATATCTGAATACATAATTATTCTCTAAATAATTATTAATATTTAATATTTCAAATAAAATACATATCATTTGAAAGTACGACATTTTTAAAAATCTAATATTTGATGAATACAATTATTTTTAATTTAATAATTAATAATGAATAATATATTTTTTTTAATTTCAATACTTTTATGATTAAGACTCAAAACCACTCTCTTTGTCTCTCTACTGTCAAATTCAGAATGATGTTTGTCGAAAAATATTGCTATCGATAACGACGTTACTTCATACTGCTACTAATCGCAAAAGCAATAATTGGATAGGCCAGTTTAAAGAATTCATTACTTTAATTTTGCTGTTAAATTACTTAGTAATAAGTAATTTAATAGTAAAATTAAAGTTTAAGTTCATTAGCTATACCAAAATGTAATTTCGTGATCGTGTAAACTTAATGGAACGTATTTAAAATATTGCAGTCCTTGTTAATGAAAATTGATGTAGCTTATAAGATATTTTTATAGGATGTTTTCGTGTCAGTCATATAAAAAATCATTCCTTTTAATTATTATACATTGATATTCTTCGAGGATATGAAATAACCAATGTCAAGAGACAGCCTGTTCGTGAAATTAAGTGATGGCGATGGTACTAAACTAGTAGTTAATTAACTTTGGAAATGAGACTTTTTAATTATCTTTGTGTAATAAAGAGTCCTTTAATTTTGAGAGCGAATTAGGTTTTTTGGAATCAATTTTTTTACTAAATAAAATTGCCATTGTTAATAACGAAACGTCATATGTTTCCAGTGTAAAGTATTATTGAATGGAAGTGACATATCATATATCTGAAGTACACAATCCAATTTGTGATCAAGTGTTATCAATATAACCTTTAAAACTGTATCAATATATTTTTTTAGAATGCTCTATTTTAAATATCAGCTGAACTCTGTTTTAGAATATGCTATAAATATTTTGTTACCGTGTCGCGTATATGCGTTGTACATGTACGCATGACCCGACATAGCCCCTGACCTCCCTTCGATTTTATTGCTTACTTATATAAAGAATTTCGAGGAAACAACAGCACAGCTGAAATAAGACGTTTTTTTTCAAAAAGGAAAAGTAAATATATCGTGTTCGAGAATAAAACCTTTAGGGAATAATGTAACATAACGTTAGCAGATTTTTTTAACTCTTCTTTGACTACTATTTAACTGAGCTTGCTTATTAGCTTAACTCGTATTAGCCTCATTTTGTTGGCTTAACAGCTTAGGCTACAAAGAGCTAATATAAATATGTTACGTTCAGTAGGTAATATTTACTTGAAAATTTGATTTTGTATTAATTTGCGGATAATCCGTGAATTTGGAAAATGTCTAACTATTAAGCACTTAAGGATCTGTTCACGGGTCACGTCTTGTGAATTACTTTTATCGTAGTAAGTTTCGGACTAAATAGCTTTTTGAAATTCGAAGAGCATAAATCTTCTCTGTTTACACCATGTTAACATACAAGTAAGCCTTCGCGACCCTTCTAATCCTTCATATCTCTTAACTAAATATAATAGCTAGGCCTTTCAACCATTGTTTATCTAAATTTATATTTAAGTTGTTAATGTTTTTAAATATAGGTGGCAAATCATTATAATTCAACTTTTGTTTTGTCTTTTTTCTTTAATCTCGTGAAAGGCCATTTTTATACAATAAAATTAGCTATGTAATATACAAAGCCTTACTGATTATTTTTATATAAAAAAAAATTAGGTACAGGACAATAAGCACAAGAAAATAACACATTGTCTGCTGCTGGCATGGAAGATGTCACGAAAACATTATTATAACATTTCCCATTTATACGGACCTATTGTGATGTTTACATTAGTTCTCTTTCAATTACGAAACCTCTTGTTTGCCCTGGACAATGAAGTTTTTTTATACTATAGTTTCAATTTTTATATTTTAACAATCAAAATTATTATTATTATTATTACAATTGTTTGGGTATGCTTTAGTGTTTATAGTAAGTCTGTATACTTTCTGTATTGCACAGCTGAATATTTTAGTGACAAACATCCACGTGAATTTTGTAGAATTGTACTGTCCTCAAAAATAAAATGTAGTTCCATCCAACCCTTTTTGATCTATAATTTATTGAAGTAGTCAAAAATACAAGTCTCAATTTTAAAGTACGTCGAGAATTTATTAACCAAACCGTTTTACTAAGGTAAAACTTTGATTAGCGAGGAATAAATTAATTTATAACCAAATTTTAATTGTTTTTTTTAATTGATAAGGATTTTTTTATTTTTTTACATATCTAATTATGTAATCCATTTTTTATTCTTTATTACCACACTAATCTTATTCGTTCAATTTTATAGTGCCGGTTCGGTATCTGATCGGTTTTATCGCGTTTTTTAAACCCAGCGAAAATATGTTTTACATCTTTACTGCTCAAGCCAGATTCGCGATATATAGTTTAAATGTATAATACGTAATAGTAATAATACGTAATATATATTTTAAATGTGATTTGTAGAATGTGTCGGAGTTAACATAAGGAAGATAGAAGTGCCTGCGTTAGTGGAAGTGGGCACCGAGACGGTCGTGCTCGACTGTCAGTATAATGTCGACGTAATGTCACCGAGGGTCGGTCTCGTGATGAAGTGGTTCTTCAACGGGTCGTCGGGGCTCGTGTATCAATGGATACCGCCGATGAGGCCGCAAGTCATTGGCCTTTTAAAAGGGAAAGTGGACATGAACTTTAAAATTTCAGGTACGCCTCGGTTTTATTCATGGGTTCGTATTTTAACCACTTTTTGGATCGGCGTTATATTTGCTCAATAAAATTAATTCCTGGACTGGTAAAATACTAATTGATGTTTAGGTAAGTAAATTACTCTTTTCATTTAGACTAAATTAAACCGGGCCAACTTTTAAAATACTTTACGTTCCACATATAACTTCAATGGCGAGTGGCAAAGGCTTCTAGTAGCAAGCTTTGAAGCAGAGTTATATGCGGGGTTGCACTCACACTATCATGAAACTATATTATGATATATTGAGATATAAATACAACGTAAAATATATAGTATTATTATAATATAAATAAATGTCATGTTTTGTAAATATATAGTTACATACATATGTAAAATACGTTAAAGCTCTAACCAAAGAAATAAAAAGCCTAAACCAAGTCTGATTATCGCAGTGGCTATAGATATTTATAATAAAACAACTAAACAATCAATGTGCAGGCTCGTTTTGATTTCAAGAACTAAGTTGGAATGCCTTGTTCTCTAAATACAATGAGTTACACCTGACCTTTTTTGACATTAAAATATGCAGACGCTATTGTTCGCCGTACAAAGGGGAGACAAAGTAGGCATAACATAATAGAATTCGCCTGGTTTTGGCAGACGGTCATTGCCAAGTCTGTGATGGCATAAAATTATTCCTCTGACACGTAGAGTTTGGAATGTCCATCTGAATTCTTCTTACGTAGTTGAGATGAAGGGAAAATAAGAATGCAGCATTTAACTGATTAAAAGACGATTATACTATTTTTCGCTAAAGCAAGGCAATGCAAATGTAATCATACTTATGTGAAATTTAAATTGTTTATAGTGCTAATCTTTGCACTTAAGATTGAACATTAAAATATGTAGAAAAAGTGCGAAAAGATTGTCGCCGCTGTGGGAATCGAACCCACGTCTTCAGGCCGCGAATGCTGAAGACGTGGGTTCGAATCCCACAGCGGCGACAATCTTTTCGCACTTTTTCTACATATTTTAACATACTTATGTGGATTGATTTAGCAGGAATCGAATAAAACTGTTTTAGAATTAGACCCACTGGTTATCAGATTATCAACTCTCGCCCTACAACTCTACATACTTTATAGTTCATCCTCGCCTACGAGCACGGCGAAGTCAACACACTGCTCACACAAAGTACACCCCGGTTCCTGGGTGATTTTCAGCACTCCCAATCAACGAATAAAATAGTCGACGGCCACTGATTTGACGGTCTGATACCGGATCTCGACGGCCCGCAGGCGACAATCCGCTCAATTTGTTAATGCACGCATCTCCATATCCGTGACTGTGCTTGAAATCTAGCCTTGCCACGAGCTCTGTTTCCTTTTAGGCTTAAATAGAAATAAAAGCTCAAACATCAAACACTAAAATCATTAGTAAAGCGTAATACATTTTGTTTTTTATATTTGCTTAAGTTTTATACGTATTTAATTCAATGCAGAGGGGTCTGCTTCGAGAGGGCGAGTCCACTCTGGATGGTATGTGAGACAAGTGTGAGAGGCAGGATCAATGTTCTTGTCACACCTTATTCAAAGAGAAGTCGCGTAGAATGTGTGTATTAAGCAAGCTCCCCCTCCGCGACTCAGCTGCACCGCTGATGCAGCAGTAGCTGGCTCGCAGGGGAAAAGATTGCCCTCCATGGCCCAAAGTGCAGAGCCGTGGGGGTTGAAGGAAAGAGGTCTTGCTCCCAGAGAAGGAAGGCTCAGGTGGCCAGTGCTGGCAGGGTTGCAGGAGTGTATGAATGTACTTTGACTATATACGCCCTGAGTGGAATAACGTTTTGGTTGGTACAAGGCCGACATAACACGTCCTTGTTCTGGCGTAAGGGCGAGAACGTGTTCTTAATAAAAAAGGCTCGTCCCGTAAGTCTTGTGAGTGAGGTACTACCTGGTTCTACTTTTTTTTTAAAGGTTTGTAACACAATTAAGGTCATAGATGTCCATGAGCGATTGCATACTTTCCTCATTAAAAACAACCGAACTCGTGCGCCGAGGGTTCCCTACCCACGTACTACCTACATTATACCGTCATAATAAAATTGGTAAATCATCAAAAATACAATTGGTAAACACCAGTTCCTGAGAAAATCGGTGGTAACATACGGACAGACGGACAAGAGACTGATTTTTATAAGGGTTCCTTTTTCACCTATTGAAGTAAGGAACCTTAAAAATTTGGCACTGAATTTTGATAGAAAAATATGTGAAAATGCGAAAAGTCCCTATTTATCAGTTATTTAAATATTGTTTAATTTCAATGTCATAAATGGATCTTGAACTACCTATACGAAGAAAATTCAATGATACAAATTTTATCTTGTTACTAGGTGTTGATACTTTTTCGATGTAGCGAACAATTTTTCCAGTATTTTTCTAAGAGCCTGTTCGTGAATCGTTGTAATTTCTTGCTTTAAATTGGATTTGGGGTTTTTCGTTATTTGCGGCTCTCTTCTAAATTACCTCGCTTTTTATATCACATCGTACTCTGTTCCTTTCTATGATGATGATATATAATTGTTAACTAAATGCAGAATGTAACGGTAACGAGGTAAAAATAAATAATAATTAAATACTTACGATAGCCCGAGTTAACTTTAACATACATAAGACGTAAAATACTAGACTTCAGGTTGTTCCGTGGCCATGGACTTTTTAAAGAGTTTAAAATTTCACAATTAAAAAAAACTTGATAAATTCCTTAAAATAGGTTAGTTTAATAAATATGCGGTATTTGAATAATTGCAAGAAATCCATGATTCCATGATAAATATGTGTATACTAGTTCGATACACTATAGAATAATTTGGTCCTAAGCACGTCTTTAATATATATCTTTATATATAAGAAAAATTAAAACGTTGTTGTGTATATCTGTAAAAAGAAATCGAGAAGGTTCAGCCGAAGATTAAAAACTGGAATTAAAATAATAATCCCCATTTAGGCCTTAGCGTGCCTAACGCCATAATTTCCAGTCATGCATTGGACCTCTGACATGACATAACGATAACGAGGCTAACTGGATTAAAGCGCCTTCTTAACTACTTCGGTGCTCGAGTTAAGGTAAATGTGGCATTTAAAGCGTTTTTAACATCTGATATTGGAATATTATGAGGTTCCGATCTAAGGAAAACCCTTTTATGCTGCCTTAATTACTAACTTTCTGACTGCAACTATTATGTGTACTATAGTTAGTAGATTCTACATTTTTGGTATTTCTAAATTATTCGTAAAATTTTAGTTACTCAAAGTAAGTAAAAATTTTATATTATCTTATGAATAAATATGAGCAAAAGCCTTGGTTATAATCAGTATATTGACGACAATCTCGAATTAAAACTTAATTGCAGCTGACATTTTTGGCTGCTGTGATATGCTCACGATTTGTGACGACAGACTTTCTGTGTCGTCAGTAACTTGATAGATGAGACCCGTTATTGGCGCTAACGTGCCGTTTCTAAAAAATTGTTTCTATTAATAAAAAAACCCGTGATGTTTTTGTCATGGGCTGTATACAATACGATGTAAGGCTTACTTTAAATCCACAGTATGCGTAGATGTCTGTAATAGCAACATTCAGATCGGCCTCGCCTTGATCATTTATAGATAATGTAACTTTTTTATAATATTATGCATATTATTACAGATGAAGTTTACATAATATATAAACAATTATATTTAATATCGAATATCAGTCGCGCACAAAATGGGTTTTCTATTTTTCTTAATCATTGTACATAAAAAATATTGTCTCGAAGTTGTGCCTGACGAAAGGAGACACGCTCACCGCTCGTCACTATAGGCTGAATGTAATATGTAAAATGTTGATATAATTATCAACAATTACTTTCTGCTCTGTAGTCCTCCTTAACTTAAATTTAAACAAAAGTTATTTTAAAATAAGTAAAATAAAACAATCCTTATATTTATTACATTACCTTTTTACTTGTAGTTATTTCCTGACGTTTCCAACACTACATTATCTATGGCCACAGGGCAGACTCTTTGAACAATATGTATTCATCGCAATACATTAAAGATTGTTTTGATTTAAGAAAAGTTAAAAGTTCATAGAACAAAATAAATGAAAATACCGATAAAATATATTTAAACAATAAATATAGTATCCAACCCAACAATGTATCTTTACTATTACATTGCTACGTTAGCTGAACTCAATTCAATGTGGAAGTTTTGACGTTCCGCTTTAAAATGTAGTCCCACTATTACAAAGGTTTGGTTGCTGGCGCAGTTTGCCAGACTCTTCAACTGTGCGACACAGCGCATGCCTTCGAGTTACGTCTGCACGAAGGGGAATTCTTAATTTTAAAGATTCAAAGATGTGCGACATGAATTAAATAGCGTAGACTGGATAAAGCATGCTCGCACTTTGAGCTAATTTACCAGAAATGCTATTGTTCTCGCTGAACACCAATAAATGGTTTTATGCAATTCGAGTATTAGGCACTTCTCAAAGCTATTGCGTTATTTTTAACTGTAAGAGTATCGTTTTATGAGTCTGACATCACCCAGTATCTTTTTATTATATTTTTTAAAACAAAAACAAAATATGAATTAATTCCAGAAATATTCATGCGCAGTCATAAAAATATCAAGATCCTTAATCTAGTTTAATCTTAAATAAAGAAAATACATACCCGCGAACAAAATGAAACTATTTACTCTGCTCCTGATAGATATATAAAGATGGCTCAGTCTGTTATGTATGTCCGCGGACTGCAATATGTAGTCAAGATAAGGGAACTGTCCCCACTCGACATCTGGTAAGAGTCCACTAAGGTACTATAGGATTATTTTATATGCAACGGACCTTTTTATAAGGGTGCGTAAAGCGTAAAAGGTAAGTAATAACAACATATCATAATAGTCATACAGAAAATTCCGACTTTCAATGAACGATGTTGTCGGATAACATGTACCTACACTTAAATTGCGAGATTTTACTTTTATTTTCAGATCTCCTTCTAAAGTGCACATATTCTGTAATAGGTATGCAGTATAAATTGTGATAACAAAAATCGAGCAATATTTGCTCGATTTTTGTCATTACTTGTTTGTTACAAGTAGTTTTTCCGATGTTGTAGTCTGTAGGTCTAATTGATTTTTCATATTATGCTCCGTTATCATAACATTGGGCAGTACGCAACACACAAAAAAATTTAAGAGTGGCAATTGATAAATAAATATACTAATTGATAGTCTAATTGTTAGAAATTAAAATGTCAATTATTATTTTCAGACGACCCTTTGCAGGCGTACAGAGCAATAAAAATACGGAACCCGACAACAGATCTAAGCGGCAACTACACTTGTGTCGTTTCCACATTCTTAGAGGAGGATCGGCAAACAAGGACAATGCTCGTATACAGTAAGGAAGTCGAACAAACTTTCCCAACTCACAGTGAATCAGTGTCACTTGGCCTATTAACTCTGTAGTACACGTGAAGCAGTAAAGGCTTCACGTGACATTTTAATCTTTATTCGGGTTAAATATAAAGGCATACGTTTTGCTCAAACAGCTGTTGTTTATCGATTTATTGTCTTATGAAACTTTGACTAGACGCACAGTTCAGAGTATCTCATAGATTGAATGATGTCTCACTCGCGTTTGATATGGAACTACTAGGCTCAATACCACAAGCATCAAATATTATCTGTGGTTTGTCACTTTCATGATCGTATGACTCCAGGTTCGATTCTAGTTACGGGTGCAAATGACCTTATCGTTTTCCTTTTACGTGCAAAAATCTCTGTCTCACATTTATACCTAGTGTACGGCGACAAACTTTGCTATCACACTGTTAGGACCAAATAAGTTAATAAAAGACACGCGGGACCACTTACAATTGTTTGTAATAAAAATGGCAGTTAGTAAAAATCTTTTAAAATTAATATAATAATTGTAATATAAATCAATCTATAGTTACAATTTTAGGTTAAGATAATTTGCTTTATAAGAAATTATAAGAGTTGCATCATTATACCATTATCAATCTATGATTTAAGTGTGTTTTACGTGAATATTAAAAATTATATCCATTTCAGGTCCAGCGCAAAACTTTCGATTCGTCCAAGAAAAGAAATACGTATTTCTAGTGACGTTAATTTGTTCCGCTGAAAATTTGTATCCGAGACCCGTTGTGGTTATACTGTCAAACGGGTGAGTTATTACAATGTTTGAATGCTTGGCAGCATACGTTCACGTAAGCCAATTCACAATTTCAATTTATTACCTGTAAACATTATAATTACAGAGCAAAATTAATTCATTCGAACTCTTCTTAATATTCATTTTCATTTTATTGTAATATAATATAATTTTTTTTCATACACAAATCCCCTCAAAACATAACAATCAACTTCTCTTTGTAATAAAAAATAATAATACTGGTGTTTTTAATATAATTTAATTGATCTAAATTTGAAGATGCTCTGTATTACTGATTTCAACAAATAACTATACTAATTACTGATAAAAATATATAAAGAATAAGGCATTTATGTTGTGATAAACACCTTTCCGGCAAAGGAAAGACACTAAAATGAAATATACCACCTAAAAGGAAGTTAAAAATTCTACAACTTTGAGAGATACCAGTGGCAGTGAAGATGCAGACTTTTAAAGATAAACAAGTTTCCATTATTGTCCTAATTGCTTTACACAGTTAATTCAATTTTGTTTTCCTTTAAACGTAGACTTTTATAAACTTTAGCAGTTTTTTAGTTCGATTTTAAGTAGGGCGTTTTAAAAGCTGTTAGCAACCTTAAACCATCATCAAAACCATCTTCACTTCTATTGCCAGTTGTCGGTAGCCACTAGTCACTTTATATAAAATTATAAATTTCCTTACATCTGTTTAGTTACGCAATTATCAATATTTAACATAAACCTACTTGCTCTATCTATATATAATACGATATGTAGGTTGCCTATTCGATATCCCTCTATACATTTATTCCTATCTACAAACATATTCGATTAACCAAAAAAAATTCACTTTACATTTTATTTCTTTACATTACATTATATATAAAAAAAACTGTATTCATTATCGGGATCCATGCTTTAATAAAATAAATCAATTGCAACTGATAAAGAAAAAGATTTTAATGGATAAACTTTTTGATATACATGTATTTGATTAAATAGTATGCATATTGGAAAGCGATACGATGCAGTTACAGATACGATAATGTTTCTACAGATACAAAGGCATTCGAGATGGTTACGATGAGATTTATCGATATTCACCGGAATTTAATGATTCACATGCCCAATAAACTTTTTTGGCTATGTGAATCATTTTTCGTATCTATTGTGATTAAATAATTGGGGAATAAGATCCGTATCTAATTTAATAGAGTACCGCTGAAACAAGCCGTAACAGAGATGAAGATGGATTCGTGGGGCCTATACGCAGTTACTACGACAGCTGTGGTTCACGATGATGATGTTGCGAGACCTTGGGAGGAGTTCGTGTGTGAGCTGTCTCTACCGCAAGCCAACTACTCCTGCAACAGAACTACCGTATACTATCCCGGTAAGAAAGTGTCTTATACTTATATTATTTCAAATAACTCTCAACGCGGTACAATTTACAGTTCCTGCACGCTTACTAACTCTGAACACTTTTCGACTCTACAAAGCTCGGTTCTCTCGATGTTGGTAATCGAGTGTTCGAAGTTTTGTAGTACGTACATCCTTTCTTCACTGGGGTTGCATTTAGTTGCAGTAAGGTGGATTGTTGATAAACTGTTAATAATTTTGATAAACTGTTCTGTCAAATGCACCGGTGAAAATTTTAGAAAAATTGAGGTATTGTATGCCATAACGTATTTTAAAAACTCTGTTCCGATTAAGATTTTCATTTGATTTTCAGGATTAATGCCAACAGCGCATATAGCTGCTTTTGAGGTGAATAAACCACAAGAACGTTTATCGAATAGTAAGTTGAAAACTCAGAAATTTTATTAAGACTCGTCATTATGTAATAATTATGTCATAATGGCGTTGTTATAATTTGATGAAATGCTGGGGATAATGCTTACCCGCCTTAAACCACAAAGGGGTGGATGCAAATAGTTTCTTAGCAAGTACATATGTAAGTCCAAACGTGGCAAGTGATAATGTTGTCGCTGAACGGCAGGCACAAATGTGATATTTCCAAGTTAATGGTAAAAGCGGCCACTGGGATAAGAATCGACATTCTGAGATATCTATGACAACGCCGTAACTGGAAGAGATTCTTCTATTCGAATCTCTGCAGGTTTCAATTATTGTAGATATAATAATTATATTATTATACTGTTTCCTCATAAAACTGTGTGCTCATTGTTCATGTAACTTTCAATCGGGTAAAAATTAGATGCGAGGATAAAAAAAAACAAAAAGGCATTCCAATGATTCAATGTCGAAAAACATGTCAAATAAATCATTGTTAAAAAGAAATAATTGTATTTGTAGTTTTTGCCTACTACAACGTGACGGATGTGTATTTCAAGTTGCTTTTTTATGAAACTCTATACAAAGCTTTTTCTGTCTTTACTTATTCTCAGGTGGCACGGCTTCAACGACCAACGACTCCTTAGTGATCATTTTGTTTCTTCTTCTTGAAGTAGCTACGCATTGAATTATGGTAATAAGCTTAATCTATTTTCAAGACCCTATAAAATTAACTTAAGTCTCTGGAGACATAGATAAGATACCTTCAATTATTTTTAATTAATTTTTTTTTGCTTTGCATTAGCTTAAGACTGAGATTTAATCTACGAATAAGGTTCTACGAATTTTTTATTATTTATAATTAAGAAACGAAATTAGCTCTTTATATTTAACCAGACGATTTATCTTTTATAATTTATTATTTTGAAAATATTTTGTGCGTTATGTTCTTTATATTTATTTTGTGGTGTTTACTCTGAAAATATAAATCTGTGATAAATTATCTTTAATATATTTTATTATAATAATTTTGATGAATCTTATCATAAATTGTTTTTGTTAGAAAAATACTGTTTATCATCGATCAGCACGAAATCATGTCATGTTCGCTCAAAATCATTACTGAAATTTTTATATAAATAAAGATTTTGTATGTTGAAGTTATTTTAATTTATAACCACCCATTTATCTCTTTGACCGCCCGTGGCGAGTCAGATCACAGCAGGCTCTGGTAATCAATGGTGTAATAACGAAAACTCGTAGTGAAAATTACTTACGAAGCTAAGAAAAAAATAAGGACGACGCTGTATGTAAAAGTAAAAAAAGTAAAGTAACAGCCAATACATGTCCCACTGCTGGGCAAAGGCCTCCTCTATACAGAGGGTATCAGGGCATAGTCCACCACGCGGCCCCACTGCGGATTGGCGGACTTCACATATTTTCGAAATATATATATTTTTTTATTATTATTTCGAAAATATGCAGGTTTCCTCACGATGTTTCCCTTCACTGCGGAGCACGTGATAAGTCAGCACTTAAAGTTAAAAACTTCATTGGTGCAGGCACCGGGGATCGAACTCAGGTTGCTCGAGTATACGCTGTATGTAAGATATTAAAATATTTACATACACAAAGCAACATATTTAAACAAACAAACAATCATTGATGAAATCGGACGTGAAATTCCGTCATGTTTCTATAATTTCTTGAAGTGCAAACCTCCTTTGCGTGATTTGAAATCCCAGAGGATTATAGTTTATATGGAATAACACTTAGGTAATTTAATGGTTTTATTTATAAGTTAAATCAATTGAAATTGATCTCGAAAAGGCTGCGACGTATTAAGAAATCTCACTTTATTTAAAATACCCGGAAGAAGCCATGACAGCTTCTGAGCAAATTTGAATTCCCTAAGAGTACCGTTTTAACGTACACTCCAACATTATAATATAACCTTTTTATATTTATATTCTTACTGCGAATACGTTTCTTCACTTCATCTGATATTTGGTTTGATATCTTAATATAACGAGATGCCTGTATCACGTCTGACTGCCATTGAAATTAAATATTGCGTAGCAAAATTTTTGTATTACATCAGTGTAGAGACATTTTATGTTTACTTAAAATTGTGTTAGTAGCACTGAATGAATTTTATATTTATCTTTTAAAATAGTATTGATAAAATACTCTAAAAGTATCTGCTGGTCATTTCTTTTCAATTTAGTATGTATATTAAAAATATTATAACTTCAAATAAATCTAATATATCAAATTTTCGTATCACGGTGTTTTTAATTAAACTCCTCCGAAACAGCTCGACCGATTTTAGTGAAATTTTGTGTGCATATCGGCCAGGGACCAGAGAGAATCGGACAGCATCAATTTTCATCACCATAAATGTTAAGGGTGGTTCACCCCATACATTTATTTCTACCCTACAAATAATTTATATGGCAAAACAACGTTTTCCGGGACAGTTAGATACACTATAATGACAACCCGATTGGCGAAGTGGGTAGTGACCCTGCTCTTGCGCCAGAGGGTGTGGGTTCGATCCCCACTACTAGTAAAATATTGCGTGATGAACATAGTGTTTTTCCAGTATATATATATTTATAAAATGTATTTATTTACAAAAGAAGAGTATCTTTAATTATGTTAATCAATTATCTAGTACCTACAGTACAAGCGTTGCTCCGTTTTGGGACTAGAAAACGTTGTATAAAAATGTGTACCGAAATTAAAAATAAAATACTTGGGAAACTTTCCTTTTAACAGTAACTTGGTGGGTATATAAGATCGAGGTACAGTCTAAAGGACTTGATAATGAAAGTAACATCACGTTGCCAATCCCGTTGCCAAACTTCTTTTCAATTCAATTTAATTCCACACTCTGGCTTCTTTCTTCGAAAGCAAATAGTATTTCTCAAATGGCTCTTTTATATACACTAATACATCCTCCAGTATTAAGCAGTTAAAAGGAATTGCAGACTGTTCAAGTGCTTTGCAAATTTCACCCTCGCTGAACAAACTCTCTGATACCTCCATCGATACGTGCATGGTGGATCGGGCTTTCGAGACTGAAATATTAAAAAAAAGGTGCGAAGTAATTTACCATTTTATTCCAACTTTTATTGGAAAACTATAAAATTACGTCGATACGTGTCTCTTATTTGTGAGTTTGACTGTGTACAAGGGATAAATACAACTATTTTAGGGATTAATCACATTAATTTTTAATATGACATTAGACTCGATTGGCTTAATAGGGTGACCTTACCTGTAGGGCCAGAGGGTATGGGTTAGATTCCCGCTACTGGAAAAATATTGTGTGATGAACATAGTGTTTTTCCAGTGCCTGGGTGTTTATATATTTATGACTGGTATTTATTTATTTATCTAATACAGCTTAGTTTAGGAATAGAAGAGACGTTGATAAAGAAATTAAAATATTTATTCATTTCCTGCGTTTCTGTAATGTGACCATAAAAATTCATGTTGTGACATTCATTAAATTTATACTTCCTTTTTACTATTTTCTTATTACCATATTCTATACTTCCTCAGTATTTCCATATTTTGAATTGCGTCATACTTACTGATGAATAAAGAATTTATTATTGAAATTTTACTATATTAGAAGATTTTATTGAAAGTTGATTTATACATCAAAACAAAATACGTAAACATATAAAAAAAGCCTAACAGGGCTAGGTTTGGTTCTTCTCTGATATAAACAGATCAATCGTATCTAAACAACTATCAACAAACCTCTTTCACTTTGAAGTTATAACTTCGCATTCATACTAGAAAGTAGATTCAGCGGTAGAGCCAGAACTAAAACCGCAATAAAACTGATACTTAGAGTAACCTTTTACGCAGTTGGCATTACTCCAGCTAGGTTAAATAGAGAAAGGATTAAAAATTAATGATGCCACTAAGTTGGCTTAATGAGTGCTTCTTACTATATATTAAAATGTATTATTAAGACAAACACAAAAACACACAGCATTAAAAACACCTTACGGTATATAAAATAATACCACACTGCTCAGTAGCTACATCGCCAGTTAAGAGGTCAGAATAGCAGGCTTCATGAGACTTAATTTTTTTGTAAATGTGATAGAATGAGAAAAGGTAATAAAGAAATATATATATAAGTATATGTGATGTTAAACCAAAACTGCCTTAACAAAGAATACACATATTGAATGATGAAAACACACAATAATACTGATAAAAATACAGGTTCTCTTTATTTTTAGAGGGCAAATTATCCAACTTTGATATTTAAGCAAAAGACAAATTAATATACAGAATGATCTTTTGGAGAAGCAAGCAATGGTTTTTTGCTCACGGTATCGTAAAATTGTATCTCTTTTTTGTGGCTCGGGCAATGGAAACACGGGCAATAACAGAAAAAGATGAATACATCGCCGGGCTGAATTAATCCCATGAATGATTTTGTTTGTACTTGTCTTATATATACGGATCTTTCTGTCTGTAATCCCCTATCTAATCAAAACGGGCTTTTGCGATCTTTTTTTAAAGCACCGACCGAATACTCTTTAGAATCAATCTTTTTAGTCCAATGTTTATGAACATTTATACTACATGCATTCAAGTATCGGTCTTCAATATTTATTAAATATTTAATTACTTATGAACTTTTGAGTTTAACACTTTTCAATAAGGGCTTCTTAAGATACGGCCTCTGATGATTTCTATTTGAGCCTATGCGACCGCTGAAGTCAGTTGAGGCTAGGAGCGCATGGAGGATGGAGGAGGAAATGTAAATAATTTAATTAGACTTCTTTGTTCCATCTAGTGTGTAGGATACCTGGGGTTCATCCCATCAAAAACCTGCATCGCACATCCAACTCTCGTGTTGTACCTATATATGTTTGAGCGGCATTAAACAATAAATTAATTACCTTTGCTAATTCGTAATAAAACATAGACTAAGCTAATAAAACATTTTTCCATTAGCTATACATTGAAAGAGCTTCAACTGATGTCTCCTAATTTTACCGACTTAAAACAACATAATACCAATACTCTTATTGGGATAAATATATTCATTTAGTCTCTACGAAAACTGTATGCAAAAGTGTTCAATAAATTACAGTTATTTGTGGTATTAATATGTTTTTTCTACATATTTTAATTACAGTTATTATTAATATAGCCTTTAAAATTAAGACAAAACCTTTCCTTTTTATAAGATAAGAACAACTTACCTTTATAGCGAATGTTTTTATTTATTAGTTTGAGTTAAAATTAGGGCTACAAATAATTAAAATTTATATTGAAAATTAATTACTGGTAAATTGAAATTAACAAATAATAATTCAAATGCTGTGTCCCCTGGTAATGGGTTTTCTAGGAGAGAAAGTGCTATTGTGTTTCTAAGGTTTCACTTCAGGATTCGTGAAAAATTTTAAAATTTTGGTTGGAATAATAACCTAATGTTTTGCCAAGTCTGAACAGAAAGCCTAATATGTCTTAATGCTTTCCCCGTCAGTTATACGAGGGTTATTGTGTGAATTTATTTTAATAACTGTTGTTAATTAGCTAAGTAAATACTCTCTTCGTTTAGTTAAGTAAATTCTCTCTTCGTTTTACGTAAACCTATGAATATTAATTTTACTTTTTTACAATGGTAAGTGATGGTTCAGGATC